GTGTTCTACTACTAAGCTACACTCTCATCCTCTGGTTTTGGTATCAGTGTAACGCTGGCCTCACAGAATGAGTTAGAAAGCATTTCCTTTCCTTCTGTTTTCTGGAACAGATTGCACAAAATTGTTACCTCCTCCTTAAATACTTAGTAGAATTCACTAGTAAAACCATCTGGATAAATGCTTTGTTCTGGAAGCTCAATTAATATCAATTCAATTTCCTTTACATAGGATTATGCAGAGTATTATCTTTGAGTTTTGGTAGATTCTCTTTCATAGAATTGGCTTGCTTTGTCTATATTATCAAGTTGATGGGCATAGAGTATAATATTTCTTTAATCTTCCTTAATAATGTTCATATCAGCAGTGATGGTCCCTCTTTTCATTTCTGATATTAATAATCTTTTTCTTCTTTTTTCTCCTTGTTTAAATGGCAAGAGGTTTATGAATTTATCTTTTCATCGAATTTCCCTATTATTTTCCTATTTTCAACTTCATTGATTTCTACTTTCATTTTTTTGCTTTGGACTTAATCTAGTCTTCTATTTCTAACTTTCCAAGGTGGATGTTTGGATTATCAATTGTAGATCTTTCATGTTTTCTAGTATCTGCATCCAGTACTATAAATTTCCCTCTTTTGCTGCATCTTACAAATTTTGATAAGTTGTATTTCATTTTCATTTAATCAAAAGTATATTTTGAGACTTCTTTGAACCATGTATTATTTAGAAGTGTCCTGTTTAATCTTCAGATATTGACATTTTCCAGTTATCTTCATTATTGATTTGATTCCATTGTAGACTGAGACATACTTTGTGTATCTATCTTAAAAATTGTTAAGGACCTCTTTATCAATTATGCAATGCCTCTTGTAATTCCCTAATAATTTTCCTTGCTTGAGGTTGTATGAAATTAATATAGCTATTCCAGCTTTCTCTTTTTGTTTTTTGTTTTGGTAATGGGGATTAAACTCAGGGGCACTCAAGCACTGAACAACATCCCCAGACCATTTTTTTGTATTTTATTTAGAGACAGGGTCTCACTGAGTTGTTTAAGGCCTTGCTAAATTGCTGAGGCTGGCTTTAAACTGGCAATCCTATCTCAGCCTCCCAGCCACTGGGATTACAGGCATGCACCACTGCACTGGGCACCAGCTTTCTTTTGATTAGTGTTAGCAGGATGTATCTATCTGCCTTTGCTTCCTTAACAAAATATGATACACAGCATGACTCAAACTGCAAAAATTTATTTTCTCACATTTTTAAAGAGCAGAAATCTGAGATCAAGGTGCCAACATAGTTGGTTTTTGATGAGTGTTCTCTTCCTGATTTGTAGATAGCTACCTTCTTGTTTCCTCACATGGCAGAGAGAGCAAATCTCTGCTCTTATAATGACATTAAATGAATGCTCCATTGACATGACCTCATTTAACCTAATTTACATTCCAAATGTGCCATCTTCCAATAGTATCCACACTGGATATTAAGGCTTCGACATATGAATTTGAGGAAGGCACAAACGTTCAGTCCCAAATATTTGGTACATCTTTCTCTATTGCTTTACTTTTAATCTATCTGTATCTTTATATGTATTTTTAAAGTGGCTGTCTTGTACAAAACATACAGTTGATTCTTTTTTTTTTTAATTTACTCTATCTCTGTGTATTTAGACCACCCACATTTAAAGTGATTAATATAGATAACTATCTGCTATATTTATTGTTTTCTATTCATTGCCTTGCTATTATTTCTTTCTTCCTTATTTGCATTTCTCATTTTTTCTGCCTGCTAACCAAACATTTTACATGATTCTGTTTTATCTTCTCTCTTACCAGGAGTGAACAGATTTATAACAATCCACAATTATGCAAATTGGCCCTTTGATTATTACAAAGCAAGACTTATTAACATGGATGTTATAACATTCTTGATACAGTCAAATGGTAGGACAGAATCGTCATCATAAAATATGAAAAATAATAGCATGTATCAAAAAGTGTTACTTCATAGTATAGGGAACCTACATAGGAAATGTGATCAGAGGAAATTTCAGCTTTTTTGGTAATGTCTACATTTATTTTTTATATAACAGAAAGTAAGTTAAAATTTTATCTCTACAAGCTAAAAGGTGTGTGTGTGCGTGTGTGTGTGTGTGTGTGTGTGTGTATAGGGGGGTAACCAAAACAAGGAGACAAACTAGACAAAACTCTAAAAATATTAAAGATAAGCTAATAACATTCAATTTTTACTTTACTAATTCAAGTTTCTGAAATACCATGTAAAAAAAATCTAACAATGATCACAGAGTATTTGGCATGCTGCATTTGGCAGTTGTCAGTATACTGGCATACTCATATAAACTTTTAGAAAAAAAATAATGTCTATACAGACATTGCAAGCATAAGCATTACATAATTTTTAGGCTGGGGCTGTAGCTCAATGTCAGAGCATGTGCTTAACATGCTTGAGCCCTTGGCTTCAATTGCCAGCACATTCACCCTACCAAAGAAAAGAAAAATTCCACATTTTTAATGTTTTCACTAACAAACACCAAAAGTTCCATTTAATTTATCATTCCTAATACAGTTATTATTAATCACTTATTAGCAGTTATCAGAAAATAAGTTGGGAGAAGAAGTTGTATACTGAAAAATAAAATTCTTGGTAAAGGCAGCAGAGAAGTAAACTAAAAGTAAAGTAAACTAAATAACCAAAAAGTAAACCAAGGGAAAAACAAAAGAGTAGGAAATATTAATACAAAGGTATAATGAAATAAAATACAGCATAATATTAAATAGGCTCTTATGCCACCATATTGAATTTCCAACCAAAGAGTGACATGATATCTCCCACATCAATCTAGGCCAACACACTAACCAAAAGCAAAGTAATTCCATGGTAGACTAAAACCAATTTTTATTTTTAAGTTATGCCAACATCAGTATTTGGAATGAGAAAATTAGAATGAGGTACTACTTTAAGATACTACAGGCTTGAGCTTATTCACAATAGCTAAACTGTGGAACCAACCGAGATGCCCTTTCAATAGATAAATGGATAAAGAAACTGTGGTATATATACATAATAGAACATTATTTAACATTAAAAGAGAATAAAATTATGGCATTTGCAGGTAAATGGATGGAGTTGGAGAATATCATGCTAATCAAGTAAGCCAATCCCAAAAAAACCAAAGGCCGAATGTTCTCTCTGATAAATGGATGCTGATCCATAGGGGCGCGAGGGGGCATGGGAAAAATGGAGGAAGTTTCATTGGGCAAAGAGGAGGGAGGGAATGGGAAGTGGACACAGGGGCAGGAAAGATGGTGGAATGAGATGGACATCATTACCAGAGGTACATGCACATATCATGTGATGCTACATCGTGTACATTGTGTACAACCAGAGAAATGAAAAGTTGTGCTGCAATTATGTACGATGAATCAAAATGCATTCTGCTGTCATATATACCTAATTAAAATTAATTAATTAATTAAGTTTTAAAAAAAGATATTACAGGCTTGGGCTGGGATTGTGGCTCAGCGGTAGAGTGTTTGCCTAGCATGCATGAGGCACTGTGTCCAATCCTCAGCACTACATAAAAACTAATAAATAAAAAATAAAGGTATTGTGTCTGTCTACAACTAAAAAAAAAAATTAATTTAAAAAAAGATATTACAAGCTAGGCATCCTGAATCCAAAAATCCAAAACTTGAAATGCTCTAGCATTTGAAATGCTTCAGATTTTAGATTTTGAATTAGAGATGTTCAGCCAGTAAAAGTCTATAAAAATATTCCAAAAAATACTTTGTAGTCTGAAACATAGCCCTTATCCCAAATAAGGCTACTCAATCAGTATCATACTTAAGAGTCAATGAAATAACAAATGCTAAGATGTAAATTTTCTTAAATCACTGAAAAGTCAAAATAGAGATAAAGTTCTCTGCATTTGAAACATGTTTTACAACACATTCAAAACCACAAAAAGCTTAAAAGGCTGTAAATTCAGATGGATTATAAATCAAGACTAATTCTAGTATAATTTACTTTGTAGTTGAAATTAAAAGTAGGCAAGTAATCTTGTTATGTAAGAAGCCTGGGCTAATAAAGTAGGATGTAAAACAAGACTTGCCAGATAAATAACCAAGTTGTTTATTGTGTTTATCTACTCTAGTCTGTAATTTGCAACACAAAGGACTTCACAGACAATAGTACCACTTTGAAGAATTGTTGTCAGGCCTACACTGCAAGAACCATTATTTTCCTCTTTCCAGTAACTTGGAGAAATAAAAAGTTGCTCATTCCTTCCCCATACAACAGGAGTGTTCTAGAAAGGTATTTTATAGGTAATGCTTCTCTAAAACTAAGTTATATTCTCTAAAATACAAAAGTACTTATATTTTTTACAGGACACAGAATATATAGAATACTATTTGCTCATTTTTAAAAAATGAAGTAATTAAGGTAAGCAAAAAACTTCAATACTATACAGTATAAAAATATAAAAGCACACATAAATTTCTCTTAGAAAAACTGATGCTAAATAGGTTTATAATTCTTTAGTTTAGCTTGAGTCCTATATCTTAATTTACCTGTGAAAAAGTCTATCTATAAAAATATTCCATATTACCAATAGCTAGAGATTTTTATAGAGAATTTTATTTACAAAAAAATTACAGAGTGTTATGAACATAATTTTGTAGCAGAATCAAGAGCAGATTAGTATATAATGTCCCTTGGTATTTAATACATATTAAAATATAGTTTTCATATACCAGCTTTTGCCATTTGTATTTTCATATTCCAATTTTTAATAAATCTAGAAATAAGGCAATACACATGAAATAGATTTGCTAGGTATTTTTAATTATGTCACTTTCTCCTTGGGATATTACTTCAATTTTATAAACATCGGCAAAATAAATGATCTTTCCATTATAATTCCTAAATATAATTTTTAAATACAAATGAAACTTAAAATGCATAAAATATACTGCCATAAAATTGAAAAGAAAATTATTATTATTACATTAGGAATATCCTAAATTAACAAAGAATTTTCCAAAGAACAACGAATGAGGCAAAGTACATTAATGCTTTATAAATCTACAATATTTTTTACTTGCTTTCTTTGTACAGTTTAAAACACCATAGCACTGAATGAATAAGAAAGGGCCATTTTTAAAATGAAGAAATGGCAATACATGTCACTTAAGGATAAAAGAAAGATGGATTATTATTTCGATTTGCAAATAATATTCTTTTATTCAAATAGTCCTGTTTCCATTATCCTTAGATGACAAGATTCTTTCCTGTTATGAAAAAAGAACATCCTCTTATTGATGGAAGGCTTCTAATCTCAATCTGGTTGGATCTTCTGGATGTCTCAAAGCAATTCCATTACGCAGCAGCAGCTCAATATAAGGTGGCCAAAAGGAATCACTGATTTTGACATATGGATCATGTGGAACATCAAATAATCTATTTATAAGAATCTAGAAAAAAAATATCATCCAAAATATACTTTACTGGGGAAAAAATCTACACAGCTATAATAAAACAAAGTTTTCCACCAAGGGATGCTGACCTCTTTTCTCCCTGAACAACTGTTTATAGCATAACTTTTATGTACTAGCTTAAATAAATGATTTGATTTTTTAAATGACTATAAATATCAGTGAATGAAAAAAGTTTTTAAAATAAATCTTTCTATCTTAATTTTTTAAAACATTCCCCAAAAATGCTTTAGAAAGCTGGTACAATTCTCCCTCTTTTAGGATTAATAATTTATTTAGAATAAGAGAAGAATCTTAAAAATTCAAATTATTACTCAATGGTAAAGCACTAGACTACTAGACTAGCATGTGCACAGACCTGGGCTTGATCCTAATAAGCAAAGCGCATGTGCACGCAGACACACATACCCCCCACACAAAATATACAGAAAGTTTAAATGAGAGTGTTAGTATTTGTGAGTGGGTAAAAGAAATTGCCAGTTTCCACACCCTCCAAACATCTACACTTCTGATAAATCTTCAGAATAGTTGATTTTATCATCATTTCCTTTGTCTTTGATTTCTTTATCAAGGATGCTAAGCGATTACAACCAAAATTGAGAAGGTTCAAGTTTTTGTATTAATTATGTAATCTAAAACTTTTAAATTAATTTTTAATTTGTTTTAATTAGTTATACACTACAGTAGAATGCATTTATACACTTTGATAAATATAGATGGGATATGATTTCTCATTTGGAAAGTTTTTTCAGGAAGCAAAAATTTATAATACTTTAAATACTAATGTTTTATAAAGCATGGTCAAAAATAGCTGGGCTTGTGATAGTGCAGGACTGTAATCCCAGTGACACACCAGGCTAAAAGCCTGAGGCTTTCAAATTTCAAGGCCAGCTTCAGCAATTTAGACAGACCTTGTCTCAAAATAAAAAATAAAAAGGACTGGGGACGTAGATCAGCGGTAACAAACCAACTAACAAAAAAACATAGTGAAAATTTCAAAATGGAAATTAATTGTAATTTTGCCTCCTCATCTACCCCCTGGTGCCTTCACAAATTATGAAATCACAACTCAGAAAGATTAAAGGATTCTATGGGGGTACACAATCAGTGGCAGATCATGAGTTAGGCTTAATCTCTGAATTGCTACACCAAAGCTTCAAGGGAAAGATGCTATTACTTTAAGGAACATGGAAAAGAAAAAGCATAATTTTAACAAATAAAGTGCTAGAAGAGTGAATAAAATTAACCTGCCAAACTCTAATTTCATATTTTATAATAGCAATATCTTGATTCTTGAAATAAAAATTTCAACTAGCATTAATTTGTCTATTTCAAGTCATATTCTAGGGAAAAAAGCTTGTGGCCTCATTACTTTTAGGAATCTTGATAAAGAATTAAACATATTCCCATTAAAGCACTTTGAAAGCTTTGTGAGTTGTGTGACTCATTGGTAGTGTGCTTACTAGCATATGTGAGGCCCTGGGTTTGATCCCCATCACTACAAAAATAAAAGTTTTCTTATTTTTCATTTTTAATTTAAATTGTATTAACTAAAATTTTAGTAGACACTAGAAATGGCTGTTAAAAATTCAAATTTAAAATGAATATGTACATTAAATTTTGTTTTGCACTGAATAACAGTTTTAAATATTGGTTACTGTTATCACTAATAATATAAATCTCAGGAACATACTTAGTTTTCTAAGTTTTACACTGTATCTCACAGTACAGTTTGAAAATTTTACACTTGTACTTCACAGTTAATACTTGTCAATATTTGCTGCATGAAGTCACAATTTTTATTTAAAAATTTTAAAACAACCACGCTAACAATATGTAATAGTTTTGGTATGAACTGGAATAGCTAGAAATAAGTTAAAAGACTACAATTATAAATCCAATAAATATTTGCATTTTGGTTTTCAAAGCAATGATATTGTTTATTAAGAAAAATCTAAAAAAAAAAATATCTAAAAAAAAAAAAGAAAGATCTATTGAGGCAACTATTTATTTAGATAAAGATAGGGACTTTAGCACCCAATTCATTAAATCACAATGAAACATGTTTTCTGAAAACATTCTTCAAAAAACTTACTAGTGTTAAAAAAAAAAAGGCACACTTTACCAATTGGTAAATACACTATTCATAACTATTTTATTTTCCTCTCTGCTCAATTGCTGTGCATTGTCAAATCTAGATTTTCTAAGGAATTTAATATATTTAAGAGTTTGGCTAAGTTCAGAAACATTTTTTTTTTAAAGAGAGAGAGAGAGAGCAGTTTTTAATATTTATTTTCTAGTTTTCGGTGGACACAACATATTTTTATTTTTATTTTTATGTGGTGCTGAGGATCGAACCCAGCGCTCGGCGCATGCCACATGAGCACGTTACCGATTGAGCCACATCCCCAGCCCTAAGAGAAACATTTTTTTAAAAAAGATCAAAAGTATTTATAAAACAAAATAAATGTCATACGGAAAAGGTTGAAATTACTCAGTCTTTACATTATGACAAGAGATTGATGCTATTTAAGGAAAATTGTACAAAACTTTTTATGACTCTGTGGAAAGAATCTTTAAGCTCACTTCACATATTTTTGAGTTATAGAGGTGTCAATTTAAATTCTAACATTGTAGCAGCACAGGACTTTTCAATGTATATGCCAAATAACATGATATAATTTTTAAAGTCTTTAACTGTGATAAAACTTGGGAATGTGATTAAAGTTAAGACTTAAATTTCACATTCTTAAAAAATGATAATATTTTCCTTAATACTATATGGAAGAAACTAATTTTTTAGCAAAGATAAATTATTATGAATATATTTAATAAAGATTGATATAGGGGCTGGGGTTGTAGCTCAGTGGTGGAGCGCTTGCCTCACACATGTGAGGTACTGGGTTCAATCCTCAGCACCACATAAAAAATAAATAAACAAAATAAAGATATTGTGTCTATGTATAACTAAAAAAATTTAAAAACAGATTGACATATACCTAAAGAATTAAAGTAGTATTTTCTCTTTTTGAAGCCTGAGTATATTAAAAGATAGCATTAAAACAACAACAACAAAAAACTATACAATATGCTTACCTCTAGTATTTCATGCAGTGTTATCAGCTGTTTGGTTGATTCTTGAATGTTTTTCTTTTAGAGAAATGTGAATAACAAACAATTAACATTTTCATTTTGCTAGTGGCAGAATGCTAAACTATAATATGAGGTTTTTAAAAATTATTGTTTCTTAGTTACAGTGGTACACGGTAACTGAAATCAAACTCATGATTGGATGACTTAAGAAGAATTCTGAAACAAACTTTTATTGTAGGTTTGCTTTCAGACATTTATTTCACCCTGCTAACTTCTGAACATACTATCATTGAAAATGCCAAAGTGCTTTCACACGTTTAACAAAGATATGTCTCCCTCATTCTTTGATGATGTTTTGTTTTGAAACAGTACTGGGAATTGAATTCAGAGCCTTGTGCATGCTAGGTAAGCACTCTGCCACTGAGTTACACCCCCAGCACTCATTATTTAGTGATTTAAACCCAAGAACAATATGTTGTATATTTCTCCTAAACATCTTCTTATTAAACTTGGCCCAAGGTCCTGGACACCCAAAGCCCAATTTTGCCATCCAATATATTTACCATCTAATCCTCTTGTTTCATACCATTTGCAAACCTTGATAGCCATGTATTCTACCTCTTCATCCAAATTGTTTAAAATGTTCAATAGGACAAATCTCTAAAGGAAACTGCTAGAAATCTTCCAATAAACCCAATCAAAAGAACTGAGTTCAGACATTCTATTAATTACAAGTCACCAACTATACTGCCAATACTTTACAGATACCAGAGATTGCAGGGCATGGTGATACACACTGGTAATCCAGGCACTAAGCAATTTAGTGAGATCCTGACTCAAATTAAAACATCAAAAGGACTGGGATGTGGCTCAGTAAGTGGCCCTGGGTTCAATACCCACTACAAAAAATAAATAAATAAAAGATACCAAAGATTATCATGGAATGTTTATAAGGCCTTGTGAAAATATAAATATGTTAAAGAAATAATAAAATAATACTAACAAAAATAAATAAGATTTCTAGTAAAGACATCAGAGTAAATTTGCATTTAAAAATCTCCTTATATCTTGCTAAATGAAAAAGAGTAGTAAAAATCAGTATATGAGTAAGCAGTGGTGAAGGCAACACAATTACAGAATTGATTAATAAATAAGAAGGAAGCCAAAAAAATTCTTTAAAAGAAGCAGAGCAACAAAAGAAGTGAATGTTTCAACATAAGAGGATAAACAATAGATATAATTATAGAAATTTTTCATGAAATATGAGCTAAATCTGTCTAAAGAAAGAACATATCATCTTCAAATAAAAACTGATATTGAATGATCAGCACTGTGACATATACTTTTAAGTTACTGAAGCTTGAAGAATTAGTCAGCTTTATAGTCAGAAGCAGCAAATCATCTAGAGTCTGGCCTCAGATTTCTACATAGTCCATTCATCTTAGAAGATATGGAGCAATGCCAAATCTTGAGTTTCAATTAAAAAATGTGTGAAACATTGAGTATAAAGACAACAAAATATTTTTAAGAAGACAAAGAATAAAACATTCAGAAATTTTTCTTAAACAAATTATTTGGGAAGAAAAATAAACCAACCATTAACAAAACCATGAAAGAAAGCAATGGATCAAAAGTAAGAACTAAAAAAATCAGTGGTACTAGATAGGTACTGATCCAATACAAAACAGAATGAAAGCTAACCATAGACATGAATGATGATTTCTTAGCACAACATAAATACTATAAACCCACCAAAGTAAAAACAACGCAAAATTGGAATAGAGAAAGAATGTTAATTTTCTTTCTTTTTTTTTTAAAGAAGAATGATTTTTTAAAAATTTTTTAGTTGTTGAGAGACCTTTATTTCATTTATTTACTTATATGTGGTACAGAGAATCGAAACCTGTGTCTCACATGTGCTAGGCAAGTGCTCTACTACTGAGCCACAACCCCAGCCCTAATTTCCTCATCTTTAATTCTACCTAAAATTGAGAAATGGAGTTAAATAAACTCTTTTTTGTTCAATTTTTTTTTAGTTGTAGATGGACACAATATTTTTATTTTATTTATTTATTTTTATGTGGTGCTGAGGATTGAACCGAGTGCTTCACGCATGCAAGGAAAGTGCTCTACCACTGAGCTACAACCCTAGCCCTTAAAAAAACTCTTATATTATGTTGTTTTTCATGATTTATTTTCCTTGCATTAGAAAGATCTTTCCAGAACTCAGACTATTCGAGGCAAAAAAATTTTTGAGTTCAACAATTCAACACTTAACTATTTTTCACTCTTCTATCAAATCTACATAAAATTACATTTAGCATTTATTTCATATTAGCAAGTACAAAATTCCACTGATTCAATCATCCATCATTTTTATAAGCGTATGTTTAGAAAGATGTCTCAAATTATATTTACCTAATGCTAATGATGGTGTTCACCTCATGTTAAAGAACTGAACTGATGGAGAATGTTTTTAGCTTTCTTTTTCATGTCCATTTTTGAATTATCAAGTCCAATGTTGTAGAATGAGTATGTCTCTAGAAATTCATGTGTCAAATCCCTAATGCAACTATATTTGGGAACAGAGTCTTAAAGAGGTAATTAATATGAAAATGAGGTCATAGAATGGGACCTTATTCTGAAATAACTGGGTTTTTTTGCTTGTTTTGTGGTACTGGGGATCAAAACCAGAGCCTTGCCTATGCTAGGCAAGCCCCTTACTGCTGAGTCACATCCCAGTTCATGGCTCCTTCCTTTCTAAGAGGAAGAAACACTAAGAATTCTCTTTTCTCCTTGTATACAGAGAAGAAACGAATGTGAGAACACAATGAGAAGGTATAATCTACAGGTCAGGAAGAGAGACCTTACCAGGAACCAACCCTGACAGAACTCTGATCTTGGGCTTCCACCTCTAAACTGCAAAAATTAATTTGTTGCTTAAGCCAAGAAGTCTGTGATATTTTATTATGGCAGTAATAATATATATAGTATTACTGCAGGCCAGAAAGAGAGACATAGAAAGAGAGGAGGGCAGGGAAAACAGAGGCACAGATGGTAGACAGATAGTAATCTATCATTTTACAACATGTATCAATAGTTCTTATGTCATTAAAAACCCTTAATGGCTTCTAGTAATCAATTTTTTGCATTTCAGGATGCCTCACACATGTGGTTTTATTATTGAAGAAGTTTAATAGTTTAATAATTTTTAAAAACTAAAGTTGAAACAAATGGGGAGACTGAAATTAGAAAATCAGTGAACTGTTACAAGATTAAGATCAAAAGAATCATGACCTTCACAGAATGGTCTTTCAATAATTTCCAAAATAAATAAATATAAATAATAATGGCTAGAATGGAAGACATAGTCCATAACAAATATAATGCCCAGAGATGATTTCAAAGAAGAATGCGAAAAATAAAATGAACACAGATTGCAATTATAAGAACTTTTTCTTTTTTTCCTGATATTCTCAAATTCATTCAATAAATATAATTCTGCCTTTTTTTTTTTTTTTCAGTACAACTGCTAGGCAAGCACAATACCACTGAACTATGTCTCCAGCCCTTTAATAAATGTGAACTCATCCTGGAATACAGCTCAGTGGTAGAGTGCATGCTTAGGATATGACAGGTTTGGGTTTAATCCCCAGCACCAAACAAAAAGAAAAATAAAAAGAAATTAACTCAGAAGATATGTAGACAGAGATATACAGGTTTTCTAAGCAAAGCAAATATAGCAATATAAGGCCCAAAAAAGTGAGAGGTCACTGCATAACTTGTTTGGCTATAGTAGTAAGATTGAATGGATTCACATAAGAGATAAATAAAGAATGATTCATGGGGGCTGGGGTTATGGCTCATCGGTAGAGTGCTTGCCTAGTATGTGTGGGGCACTGGGTTCAATTCTTGGCACCATATATAAATAAATAAAATAAAGGTCCACTGACAACTAAAAAAAAAAAAAAGAACAATTCATGATGAGGCTGAACAGACAGATACACTCCAAAGTATAAATCCATTATTCTACGTAATTTATAGACTTCATCCTATAGGGAGCCAAAAGTTTTATAATAAAAAATGATTAAACTATATTTACATTTTAGAGAAACTATTCTGGTACCAGTTTTAATACCAATTCCAATTTCAAAGTTTTGTTTATTTATGCTATATAATGTATTAAAGAAAAGGAATTAGAGTAGTCATTCACAATCTTCTGTCACTCAATGATTTACTTGTGTTTTTGGAAAAAGTTTATTTTATCATAAATTCTATTCAAATAATTATTAACCTAGATTAAACTAACAATTTTCAAACATTCTTCTGATTTAAAAAGAGGTATACATTCATGACAAATAGTAAAAAAGCAAACAACATCATCAACAACAAAAACAAAACTCACCTACCAGACCTTACATTTATGGTATAAATTATATTCAAGTCATAAAATCTAGTCATCTGTTTTATTCATTTAAAAATATGAGCATTTCATGAACTCTAATGGTGTTCAACAAATCATTTTTAAAAGCTGAACTTTTCATATCATATGGATATAATATAAAAAAATTTAATCAATCCCATTTTTTTCCCCCCAGGGAGGTACCAAGGATTGAACTCAGGGGCATTTGACCACTGAGCATTCTCAGCCCTATTTTGTATTTTATGTAGAGACAGGGTCTCGTTGAGTTGCTTAGTGCTTTGATGTTGCTAAGGCTGATTTTGAACTCTTGGTCCTCCTGTCTCAGCCTTCGGAGTTCCTGGGATTACAGGCAGGCACCACCACACACCAGCTTAATCAGTCCCATTTTATTGAACAAGTAGGTGGCTTCTAATTTTTCAGTAAATACGTGATGATGGCATATTTCAGTACATTTATCCGTGTGTATATCTTCTCACTATATAAGAAAACTTGCCTTTGGACCTACCTAAAACAATTTAAAATCTACATGCATATCTTCTCTAAAACTTACCTTTTTCTTTTTAACATTCCCATCAGGCAGAGGAAAATGGTCTTCTAGAAACTCACCCAAGGTACTCAAGAGTTTCTCCTTGAATGCTTTTATATTAAGCATTTTAGTTTTCAGCTCACTAAAGATTCTAATAGATAAAAAGAAAATTAAGAGAAACAATTAACTGGTAAAATGTATATATATGTACCTGGTTCTTCATAAAGTTAATAAAAAACTTTGCTGAGAGCTAGGGTTGTAACTCAGTGGTGGAGTGATTGCCTCAAACATGTGAGGCACTCAGCACCACAAAAAATAAATAAATAAAAGTATTGTATCCGTCTAAAACTTCAAAAATGCTGAAACTTCATTGCTCCAACAACATAACTAGTTTTATGAAAGATATATTTTCTTTATAACATGTAGGGAAACTAATAGTACAACCCAGTCAAGTCATTCATAAAAAATCATGTAACTAATAATCGGCAAAAGTTAAGGTAAGACCCACAATTCCTGGTGAGATTTGTCTTCTTTTCATCTATAGTTTAGGTAACATGAAAAAGAAAATACTTTCTCCTATTTAAAAAACTTAGAACCACAAAATTACCTTGTTTCAGAAAATGTCACAAACTGATTTTTCAATTCACTGTAAAGTGCATTAAGAGATTCCATTATTTGTTGCTGTTCATCCAACCATTGTTGCTCCCTTCAAACATGAAAACACAGATTATGGATTTTAAGTGCCAATTCAATACATATCAATGATTAATAGTAATTATAATATAAACATACCTTTCTAAGTCTTCCTTTAATTTTTCATTCTTTGACTGAATAGTAGATAGTACCATTTCAAGATCATGTCTTAATTTTTGGAACTAGAACAAAATAATTCAAATTAATCTCAAAATAGAAAGGGTTGGGGATATAGCTCAGTAATAAAGCTATTAAAAGAAAAGAAAGAAAGAAAATGGGCAAATGAAATGTTACAAATAATTTTATATCAATAGATTTGACAAATTAGAATGAAACAATGCTTTGAAAGACATACTATCAAAGCTCATTCAGAGAAGAACAAAACCTAACTAGCCCTAAAGAAAATGAATTTGTAGTTAAAAACGTTCCTGGATTAAAAGTTTTATTCATCTCAGAATTTTTATTTAGTTTGTAAGGAAATGCTAGCCCAGATGGCTTCACCTATGGGTTCCAATGCTTGAAGAAAAAACAATACCAATTATATACAAGCTCTTTTGAAGAGGAGAGGATACTTCTCAATTCATTCTATGAGGTTGTTATCATCACTCTTATATCAAAGCTTAATAAAGACATCACAAAAAAACCAATATTTCACATGAACATAGATATAAAAAGATATGTAAAACTTCAACAAATTAAAATCAGCAATAAATAAAAAAGATTAATGTTATGATAAGTGGGATTTATCCTATGTTCAGTTGATTAAGTAGCGGACTTAATTTAATGATGAAAAAGCAAATGCTTTCGGATAAGACCAGAAGCAAGACAAAGATGTCCATTCTTACTGACTACATTTAATATTTTACTGAAGTAGTTCTATGACAGTAAAATATGACAATAAAAAGTTATGAAAAGCATCTAGAATGGAAAGGATAATAAATCTCAGATAATCCATGTAGAAATCTGATTTCAAATGACATGTCAATTTAGAAAATCTTACAGAACTATAAAAAGCTACTAGAATAAAAAGATTTCTCAAGCTCACAGGATGTAAGATCAAGATTGATCTTAGTACTTAGTAGTAATAAAAAACTGACATTTGAAAGAACCATTTAAAGAGCATCAAAAATACTAAGCATACAGTTCAGCTTGGAACCCAAGGTGCCCTTCAATAGATGAATGGATAAAGAAAATGTGGTACATATACACAATGGAATATTACACAGCCATAAAGTGAATGAAATTATGACATTTACTGGTAAATGGATGGAACTGGAGAATATTATGTTAAGTGAAATCAGCCATTCCCCAAAATACCAAACGCCATATATTTTCTCTGATATTCAGATGCTAATTCACAATAAGGTGGGGGTGGTTAGGAAAGAATAGAAATATTTTGGATTAGACAAAGGGGAATGAAGGGAAGGGATGGGGAATGGGAAAAAAGATTTTAAAATATACTAAGTGATGAATTTGACAAAAGATATGTAAGACCTATTTGTTGAAAACTACAAAAATATTACTGAGATGCTTATTTTAAATACCACATAAATGGAGATCTGCATTCTGACTAAATATGTTAAAGATGTCAATTCTCCCCCAACTTAATTTATAATGAAGGGGGAAGTTTACTTAAAATTTCAGCAAGGTTTTTATGGGATAGAATAAAAAGCCACCTCTAAAATTTAGATGAAAATGGGAAACAATTTTGAAAACAACAACAAACTTAGAACACTCTTAGTACTTAATGTGAAATATTGGTTTTTTTGTGATGTCTTTATTAGGCTTCAGTAGGTAGCCAAGATAAAGTGGTATTGGTTTAAATACAGAAATATGGAACAAAGGAACAGAAATACCCACAGTACAGGATGAAGAACAAATGAAGTGTCAGAAATAGGTATACACATTTCTACAGTAATTCCTCCTTATACAGCTTTCCTTTTCTTTGGTATCAGTTACGTGGGATCAATTGTGGTTTGAAAATATTAAATGGAAAATTACAAAAATGAATAGCCCTTAAGTTTTAAATTGCTGCTTTGCATATTGTGATGGGTTCAGGAGCTTCTGAATGTCTGAGTACGTGAAGGTTCAAAGAGGGAGGCATAAAGAGGGTATGGAAGCTTCATGTCCCTTCCCATGTGCTGCAAAATCTGCCAGAAAAGTGGTTTCTGGTATGGAGAAATCTCCATATATTTTGGTGACCAGTGATGCTGTGTTGTACTGCATAGTGAGAAAGAAAAAAAACAAAAAACAAAAAACACTAGTTTCTCCTCTCTACCCTTAGAAATGATGCTTCTCATTTCCATTGGAAATATCAGAAGAATCTATACTGTGCATACTTCCACCAGTATTCTGTTTAGGATTACTCAGGCACTAAGAAAACTGAGTCTTTCTCTATAGCTTCCCTCTTTTCTTTCTGAATTATCACCAAAATTATCTATAAAGGTTTCCTCATGGTGGCGTAGGCTTTTTCTAGAATACACTTAAAAATTCTTCAGCCTTTACCCCTAACCCAATTTCAAAGCAAATTCCACATTTTTGATATTTATTGGAGTACCACCCCACTTCTCAGTACCAATTTTCTGTAGTACTTTTGGGCTGCTATAACAAAATACTATAGATAGGGAAGCTAAAAAAAAAAAAAAGAAAGAAAGAAATTTATTTCTCACAGTTCTAAAGGCTGTAAATACAAGATTAAAATGCCATAGCTGGGTGCAATGGTGCACACCTGTAATCCCAGTGGCTTGGAAAGCTGAGGCAGGAGGACGGTGAGTTCAAAGCTAGCCTTGGCAATTTAGCGAGGCCCTAAGCAACTCAGCAAGACCCTGTCTCAAAATAAAAAAAATTAAAAAAGGGTTGGGGATGTGGCTCAGTGGTTAAGCACTCCTGGGTTCAGTCTCTGGCACCAAAAAAAAAAAAAAAAAAAAGATGCCAGCAGATCTGGTGTCTGACAAAAGACTGACTTCTTGCTCACATGGTGAAAAGAAATGTGGTTCCTTCAGCCACACATAAGAGCATTAATCTTATTTATGAGGCTCAACCTTCAAGACCTAAATACTTCCCAAAGTTCTCACCTCCTAGTACCATTACATTGGGAATTAGATTTTAACATATGAACCGGGATGTCACAAATTTTTAATCCATAGTAGAAGAACAGATGTATGTGTGAAATCAATTAATTATGTTTAACCTTTTATTTTTATTAATCGAGTTTAAACACCTAAAAATGAGATATACAATTAAGGTTTACATATTAATCACTAATATTTGCAATAGTTCTGATATAAAAATTGACTTCAAATTTTAAAAACTATTTAGTTCAATAAAATATAATCAAATAAAAATATGGTTTTAGGGTAATTTCATACCATTTTTCTTATGTCATGAACTAATCTAAAATATTCTGGTTATAAATTATTTAAGTTTACTACAAATTGATAAATTACTTACCTCTTCTGTTCCTAATGTTATCAGAACATCCTCTGTCAGGGGAGTTACTACAAAACCAAAACAAAATTATACATATATTTAGTTAACTCTCAAGAATTGGTTTTTTGGTGTTCAAGATAACCCATTCCTTCTGTATATTACAGAATGCTTTATGAAATATGTGAAGCATTTGTGAAATTATTTTTGTTTCCCATCTTTGTACATATAACCAATTATATATACTTTTAGATAAATGTGGAATTTTGTTTTTAGTGTTTTTCCCCCAACCCTCAAAAGCAAGTTTAATAATCTATAGTGTGTTCCTATATGTAGGCATATAATCCTAGATACACACACACACACACACACACACACACACACAAATTTAGGCACACATATATTAAAAGGTTTATTATTTTTTTATCACTGCTGATTTTACAAGAATAACATCAGCTACACATGGTGGTACACACCTGTAATCCGAGCAACTCAGGAAGCTGAGGCAAGAGGACCACAAGTTTAAGGTCAGCCTCAGCAACTTAGCAATGCCCTAAACAACTTAAAGAGACCCTGTCTCAAAATAAAAAATAAAAAAGGCTGAGGATGCAGCTCAGAGGGAAAATGCCCCTGGGTTCAATCCCCAGTACCAACAAAACAAAACAAGTAAAACCGCACAAGAATAATATCGTATTACACACATTCACTCCATCTTGAATTCACTCAACAAAACTCCCATGAAAAACCCTTCCATTCATATGTTGCAGGTCTAATTCATCCTTTTACTAACTGTATAATATTCCACAGCAAGAATATACCATAACATACTGGGTGATTCTGTTGACTAAGCATGAACTTTGCACTTAAATTTTAGCTACAATAACAAGAATACAGCAAACACATTTTTTAGGTATTGGTGCTTTCATTTCTATAGAACATATTCCCAGAAATGGAATTTCACAGAATGAAATGTTCAATTTCATTTTTGGTAGAGAATATCAGACTCCTTTCTTAAAACATATCTACAAGTAATGAATTGAAAACGGCAAAAGAGAGCTGGGGATATAGCTCAGTGTCAGAGGATTTGCCTATCATGTATGCAGCCCTAGTTTCAATCCTTACGGTACTGCCACCCCCCAAAAAAATACACCCAAAACAATAAAAACAAACCAGCAAAAGACAAACTCTTCCATAAATTTTGCCAGTCAAATGAAATAGCAATGGATATTAATTCTGTAAAATTTGTGTTAAATTCATACATTAGAAAAGTCTACCTTTCCTAATCAAGTGTTATTTGAAATTTTTCAAATGATACGCTACTGAAAACTTTCAAAGGTATCTAGTTATTTCTTACCAATAACTAGGGAGCATATTTTTCAAGTATAAACAATAGCTCTGAATTGCATATTCAATGCAAGTATCCTTCAAGAATGAAGGAATAAAGACATTTTCAAGTCCTTTGACTCTCAGGTTTAGTATTCTTATTCTATTCCTTTTGATGCTGCATATTAGGTGATTTTTGATTTTTACTTTTTTTGTTATCATTATCCCTTAACACACACACCCTATTATCCAGGTACTACTGAATGCACAGGCTGCTCTGTTGGCCTTATACCCAGAATTACCAGTCCCATAGGCTGCCACATTGGAAGAGTTTTTAAAAAATGTTATATTCTTAGAATCTGTCATACTGTACTTGTTGAAATGATTCTTTGAATATATGTTTAAATGCTATTCTTGGCTTTCTTTCCATCTTCCTAGTATCAGGAGAATTCAGGAAATTTCAAGAAAGCCAAATGGAGCTTGTAATTCTTCTTGTGATCATTAAATTGTCTACAAAAATACAAATCTAAAAATTAAAATCTTACTTTCAGGTGTTTCTTTGTGCCACTGACTGAGTTCAGCAGTTAAACATTTCACTTGCATAATCAATAATGATAGCTAAAAAAAAAGAGAGATTTAATAGATATCATAGCTATTCATAGATAAAAATGTAGACCATTTTAATACTTAAATATTAGTTCCTAACATAAATAGCTAACAAAAGTAAAACTAAACTATGAACATTTAACACTATAAACATAATTCTGCTTTAAACCATGCTAATTACAGCATCTTATACGAATAATATAGTATTAAAAATGATAAATTCTGCTTCACCATTTAAACTAAAAGAACCTAAGTGCATTAAGATAATTTCCTTAAAAAAAAAATAAAAACTTAAAATAAAAAAATGGTCCAGGCACAGTGATGTCTACCTCTAATCCCAAATATTTGAAGTATAAGGCAGGAGGATCCCAAGTTCAAGGCCAGCATGGGCAACCTCAGTGCCTTAGCAAAGAGACTCTGTCTCAAAATAAAAAATTAAAAGGGGTAGGAATGTAAATCAGTGGTAGAGCACATGTATACCATGCCTGGCATCCTGGGTACTATTCCCAGCCCTAGTACCACAATTTTAAAAAAAGTTATTTATTGTCAACATTTTTAGATAAATTTGCCTTAAATTTTTTTTTCTTCTTAGAAAAACTACAACTACTTTTAGCTGATAGCTAAATACATATTTAAATACAATTTAAATACATAAATCAAAATAATTATAAAATAAGATTGGTCCCACAAGCCACACATAAATACCAGCTTTACTCCACAAGTTTGCAGCTTGCAAACTGTGTATTTCTTAGCCAAATATAAATCAGGGCTAATGTGGTTTTGGTAGTAGGTGATCCCCGTCATTCCAATTTTGATAATCTATGTGAAAATCTGTTGACTGGTTAGACTTTAATATTTTAAAGTCCATGTATGCTTAAAGTTAGATCTCAGAGCGTTTTTAATCTTCTATTTGTAATTCCTATTGGTACCCGGACAGATTAAAAATTCACATTTCAAAAATAAAATGGATTTTAGTAAAGTATTTACATCACAAAGGTACCAACTACTATCTTTTATAACCTACAGTAGCTCAAAGACCCTGCTCTGTATCATAATATTGCCTGTCAAAATACATCAGAAGAGGAGTTTTAAAAAAAGAGAGAGAGCATTAACAAAATTTTAAATCTTTTGTGTGTGTTTTAATGGTTTTAAAAAAAATTTAAATTTGTTTTATTAGTTATACATGACAGAATATACTTATGCTCCTTGATATATCATACATAGATGGGGTATAATTTCTAATTTTTCTGATTTTACATGTTGTGGAATCACACTGGTTATGCTGTCATATATGTACATAGGTCATATATGTCATATATGTCATATATGTACATCTGTTTCATTCTGCTATTTTTCCTACCCCTTTATCCCCGCCCCTTTCCTCCCTTTACTCCCCTTAAAGGGATATAAATAGCCTATTTTAAATCTTTAACAAAGCAGAGTTTAATATTTTCCTTATAGATAATCAATTAGGAATGTGAAAAAAATTTTTGTGAAGTATCAAGTGTATAAATGTAGTTTAATATTAGTAAGAGATAATAAATTTTTAAAAAGCAGCATTAAGTTAGGTAAAACTATCATATGATGATAAGGAATCCATATCACTTCTGTTCAGCTTAGGTTGAAATATGTGAAATTATTAAAATTTATTTTTAACTCATAATAAACCGTAATTTCATGTAGTTAAACCCATACACATTGATGGTACTATATTGATGAAGCATATGTTTTAGTGTACCAAAGCCCAGCATGCAAGCATACAAATAATTTCTCAACTTGCTATAAAACTGAACAACTTTTTCTAAAAATAATAGTAATATTTCTAAAGTAATTTAATTACTAAAATTTTCTTAAAGTATCTAACTTCCTACTTTAGAAAATGGGCTTCTAATAAAATTTTGAAGATGAAAGGTATGCAGAAAAGAATTAACAAAGCAGGATTAAAACTATTTTTAGAAAGATCTCCTTATAACATTGTCCTTTGGCTGGCAATGAGAACTTGGTTAGGCTTCAAGAAAATAGTTCCTACCACCCAAAACATTCCTAAGAGAGGCTTAACATACCTAATCTGTTTATCTAAAGAATGTGGTTTATGAGAAGTTGTCTCTTCAGGTCCTTGGCCCATTTATTCATTGGGTTATTTGTTTTTTGGTGTTTAGCTTTTTGAGTTCTTTATATACTCTAGTGATTAGTGCTCTGATGGGTGAGGGGTAAAGATTTGCTCCCAAGATGTAGGCTCTCTATTCACTTCACAGATTGTATCTTTTGCTGAGAAGAAATTTTTTAGTTTGAGTCCATCCCATTTATTGATTCTTGATTTTAATTCTTGTGCCACAGGAGTCTTATTAAGGAAATTGGGGCAGGGTCTCTGATTGTATTCCTAAGTCCTTGATGTACAATCAATCAACAAATACATGAAAAAATGTTCATCATCACTAGCAATTAGAGAAATGCAAATCAAAACCACTCTAAGATTTCATCTCACTCCAGTCAGAATGGCAGCTATTATGCATACAAACAACAATAAGTGTTGGCAAGGACGTGGGGAAAAAGGTACACTCATACACTGCTGGTGGGACTGCAAATTGGTGAGGCCAATATGGAAAGCAGTATGGAGATTTCTTGGAAAATTGGGAATGGTGCCACCATTTGACCCAGTGATTCCTCTGCTCAGTCTATACCCAAAGGACTTAAAACCAGCATACTACAGGGACACAGCCACGATCAATGTTTATAGCAGCATAATTCACAATAGCTAAACTGTGGAATCAACCTAGATGCCCTTCAATAGATGAATGGATATAAAAAAAATGTGGCATATATACACAATGGAATATTACTCAGCAATAAAACAGATTAAAATCATGGCATTTGCAGGTAAATGGATGGAGTTAGAGAAGATAATGCTAAGTGAAGTTAGCCAATTCCAAAAAACCAAATGCCGAATGTTTTCTTTGATATAAGGAGGCTGATTCATAGTGGGATAGGGAGAGGGAGCATGGGAGAAATAGATAAACTCTAGATAGGGCAGAGGGGTGGGAGGGGAAGGGTAAGGGCATGGGGTAATTAATGATAGTGGAATGTGATGATCATTATTATCCAAAGTACAGGTATGAAGACACAAATTGGTGTGAATATACTATATATACAACCAGAGATCTGAAAAATTGTGCTCTATATATGTAATAAGAATTGTAATGTATTCCGCTGTCATATATAAATTAAAAAAAAAAAAAAAGAAAAAAGAAAAAACAATGTGGTTTATGCTGAACACCTGCTTTCCTTCTGTTAGTCTGGTATTTTTGTTACCTGCCAGATAGGATATGCCTATGTGACCAGCTTCCACTGAAAACTTTGGGAAGAGTTTCTAATGAGGTCCTCAGATAGACATATTGTCACAATTAGACGGAAGAATTGAACAGGTCCTGTGTGACTCTACAAGGAAAGGACTCCTGAATTGTGCCTGGTTTCCTGTGGATCTCACCTCATGTACCTTTTCCCATTGTTGATTTTACTCTGTATCCTTTCACTGTAATAGAACAAGTTCACTATATACTGAGTCCTGTGGGTCCTCCAAGAGAATCATCAAGCTTATGAGTGGGCTTGGGGGTGCTCAACACAACAGGATAACACATATTGTATATTCCGACACTACACATTTACAGCTACACAAGACCCAGTGTTTGGCTCACTGCATGAAAATTATTTATAAGCTTGTAGGTCCTATCTCTAATGATTCTGATTTAGTGTATCTCAATTTCTACAACCTAGGAACCACATTTTCCAAGGAAGATGATGGTTTCCTTATTACGTAGTGCTTTTTCAAATGCAATATTCAGTTTATTTATCCTATGCAACACAGCTGCATACTTATAGTTAAAAAAATTTTTTTTTAAGTTGTAGATGGACATAATAACTTTATTTATTTTTATGTGGTGCTGAAGATCAAACCCAGTGCCTCACACTTGCTAAGCGAGTGCTCCATCACTGAGCCATTACTCCAGGCCAAGACTCAAAAAGTTTCATGAACACAAAGAGGAACCCGGTTGTTTATCACTAATTCTGACATTAAGAATCTAATAAGTACTTTCAAAAGTGACAAATTAATTTTTCCCTTTATTTCTTTTTTATTTTTAATTAAGTATCATTATAATCATGGACTTTTATTTTTTATATTATTATATTCAATTAAAGTTATTATTCATTATAATATCAAATTTGGATAGCAGGAGCACCCTCAAATGAGTTCTTTTGTCTCTTGACATTTCTCTACCAGTTTGGGGGAACTTTCATTGGAATCATCTGTACATTTGATTCTATCCTTAGAATTTTTATCATTAAAATGTTTTTAATTTCTTATATGGTAAAATACATCTATTTTTTCTTTTATACAAAACAGACTTATAGTATTAGCCAAGAAGTTTTCCCCCATTCCTGGTTTGCAAAAATATTCTCCTAGTTTTTTTTACAGATTTTTTTTTTTTTGCTAATCCATCAGGAGTTTATATGGTATAGAAAGGAAAACAGAGGTCCCATTTTATTTTCCTCCACATGGATATCTAGTTGTATCACTATAACTCATTAACTAATTCATTCTTTTATGACAGATTTGAACTACTATATTTTTGTCACATTTTAAATTCCTTACCTGATCCACTGATCTATTCCTAAACCAATTCCACAATTCTTTGATTATTTCAACAGATCTAAATCATCTTCTAAAGCCTACGGTAAAATCAATAAAGGTTACATATAGATAGAAAAATATATTTGGCTATTTTACCTAACACGGAGTAGGACTGTCTTTGTTCTATTTTTTTTTTTATTGTTTTAATTTTTAACAGGGTATCACAATAGCAATGAACAAGCAATTTGCTCAACTGCTAAATGAATGTATTTAAAAGACAAATAATAAAGAAAATGCTTTCTTATTTATAATAGCTTGATTCAGTGTTTGGTTTTTTTGTGTGTATGTGTGTGTGTGTGATCAGATCCAGGAGTGTTTTACCACTGAGTTAAGCTATATCCTCAGCCTTTTTCATTTTAAGACAGGGTCTCTCTAAACTGCCAAGGCTGACCGCAAACTTGCAGTCTTCTTCCCATGTCACTGGGATTACAGGTGTGCGCCACAGCACCTGGCTCCTTTTTTTAAATTTTTGATGGAATCTTGCTATTTTATTTACTTCCAACTCTTAAATCAGGAAGAAAAAAGAGTTTTCCAAATGATTAAGAATACAGGTATTAATAAAGTAATTATGTTTGAAGTAAATATAAACATATATACTTCTTTTCCAAAATACAATGAATTGTACTTACCTATTTTCAGGGAAAAAAAAAAAAAAGTTCATACCTGAGCATTTGAATTAGTGAGTGTCTCAGTTCCAGTAAGTGATAATTTATTCTGACACTTGATTAAAAAAGAGAAACAAGTCAGATAATATAATCCATAGATAATTTCCTTCTCCTCCCCTTTTTTAATCAGTCCAATATAATACTCCTTTAAAACAACATACAGATATCTAACATCAGAGTTTTAATTCCTCACTTTTTAGGCAAAACAATGAAGGAGGCAGCCAAATAGGTTCCAAAGTAAATATATCAAAAGGAAAACGGGATACCAGACAAAAGAAAAAGAACAGAAACCAATAGCTGTGGTGACTTATAAACTACAAAGTGGAAAAGGTAGGGAGGTGGGGAGAATAAGAGAAAATACAGTAGAAAATAACAAAGTAGGTAAGAAGTTAGTTAAGATCATAAAACAAAGACTTCAGGAGACACTGTTCTTGTGCCATTAAAAAAAAAAAAAAAAATCCAGGGGCTAGGGTTATGGCTCAGCAGAAAAACGCTCGCCTCACATGTGCAAAGCCCTGGGTTTGATCCTCAGCACCACATAAAAATAAATAAATAAATAAAATAAAGTTATTGTGTACAACTACAAAAAACTATTTTTAAAAATCTCAAACTATTAATAATAATAATAAATCTGAGAATTAAAAATGAGTAATTTAAATTTAAAATTTTATTTTTGCTTATTTCTAGTTGCAATATTTTTCTATAAAAAGTATTTTTATTTTGTTTTGTTTTGTTTGTACTGGGAATAGAACCCAGGAGCACTTTACCACTGAGCTACATCCTTATTCTTTTTTATTTATTTATTTTGAGACAGAGTCTCACTAAATAGCTGAGGTTGGCCTCAAACTTAGAATCCTTCTGCCTCAGCCTCCTGAGTAGCTGGGATTACAAGCCTGCACCACCAGGCCTTGCCTACAATTATTTTTAAGTCTAAATTTATACACTGAAAAAAAATTTTAAAAATTTTTTATACAAATTATGTAGTAGATACATTAATGATATAAGAGTTCCAAGAATTTATGTTTAAAAATTACTTTTTAAAAAAGAAATAAGAAGAGAGACCCCACAGAGCCAGGCAGAGTGGCACATGCCTATAATGGGAGGCTGAGGCAGGATAATCACTAGGTCAAAACCGGCCTCTGCAAATTAATGAGGCCCTAAGCAACTTAGCAAGACCCTCTCTCTAAATAAAATATAAAAAAGATCTAGGGATGAGGCTCAGCAGCTCAGAGCTCTTGGGTTCAATCCCTGGTACCAAAAAGAAAAAAAGAGAGAGAGAGAGAGACAGACACTACTACTAATTCACCCTACTCTGAACCTTTACTGGGAAAAAGATGCTAAAATTCTGTGGCCTCTAACATACAATATATTATTTTAAGTAGAACAGTATTTTTACCAAGATACTGTAGTATACCAAAAGCAATTCCCTCACTAAAACAGAAAATGTATAGATGCTTCAAACTCAACAATTTCTAAATGAATTCACACTTTCACTCATAATTATGTATTCTTCCCATTTCTATACTCTGTTTTAAGGAATAACCTCAAAACCAGCCAAAGGCCCAAACCATGAATCTGAAACCATCCAAGATAATTCTCTCCAATTTCACAGTGATTAACCTCCTTAATATTTCTTGAACCTATTCTATTTGTAGTAACACTATTTAGGTCTTCACTTCTGAATAGGACTAGAACCTCCTAAATGCTCTTTTTTTTTTTTTTTGGTAGGGGGGATTGAACTCAGGGGCACTCAACCATTTAATCAAGTCCCCAGCCCTATTTTGTATTTTTTATTTAGAGACAGGGTCTCACTGAGTTGCTTAGAGCCTTACTTTTTGCCGAGGCTGGCTTTGAACTCAGGATCCTCCTTCCTCAGCCTCCGGAGTCATTGGGATTACAGGCATAACCCATCACGCCCAGCCCTCATAATAATTTTCTTACTCTGAATATCTGATCATGTCACTTCAGTGTTTATAATCCTGGCTTCCCATAGTACACACTCAACAAAATTCTTCATGTTCTTGTTCCCAGTTAACTTTCCAGTCTCAGTCCACAAATCTTTCTTTGTTCTTATTTGCATTTTTCATTATATTCTCCTTAGAGTTCTCTTAACTCTTCAAATTTTATACATTTTTATCTTTCTGCATTCTATGCCTGTCCTACTTTCACTGGCCAAGTCTTACCTATCCTTTAGAAATGAAATTAGTGATTACTTCTTATAAAAATTATCCATGACTCCTTCAGCCTAGGTTGAGTATTCCTTCTAAGTATAGTTTTGTACTTCAATATTATGTATAGCTATTCCAAGATAATAAACCTAAGATTAGGAGTTGTCATAATTTTTCTCTTTCTATAGCTTATCTATCATAAAGCTTCTTGAATGAATGCTTATAGGTCTAAAAACTATATAAATATTACCATATATAATAGTTCCGAGAAACTAGCAAAATTCTATCTTTCCAAAGTCTAATTGTTATTGAAATTGATTTAACTCTTATATTAACATATATATCACCTTTATCTCTTGAAACTTACTTCTTCCATGTCTTTCCATATTTCTTCACATTCTTTAATAAGTTCTTCTTCAGTATCTGTAACAACTTCCACATCTGTAGTACTATCGGGATCTAGATCTTGCTGACTCACTGACATGTGGATTGTGATTTTTCTTAGCCTTATAAGAAAAACTAAAATAAAATATATTTATGCATTCAACAAATATTTGAATATTTGTTACCTGACAAATACTCATCTAGTGCTAAAAATTTAGCACAGACTTGAACAGACAAAACCCTTCCTACTAAAAGGGAAACACTAATACAATACTGTTGGAGGGAATATAAATTAGTACAACCATTATGAAAAACAGTATGAACAATACTCAAAAAACTAGAACTAGAACAGCAATTCCACTAGTGAATATATATTCAAAGGATAGAAAATCAGTATTTTAAGTAGATATCTACAGCATTAGTTACAGTAGTGAAGATAATGGAGTCAACCTAGGTGTCCACCAACAGATAAATGGAAGAAGAAAATGTAGTGCATATTCACAACAGAATATTATTCATATATAAAAAAGAATGATCCTTGGATTCAATCCTCAGTACTGCAAAAAACAAAAATAAAATAAAAAAGAATAAAATTCTCTCATTTATGGAAGCAGGAATAAGGACACTATGTTATATGAAATAAGTCACATAAAGAAAGACAAATATCACATGATCTTGCTTACATGTGGAAACTAAAAATGTTGACTTACTAGAAGTAGAGCAGAATAGTGATTTTCAGGGTTTGGGAGGGTAAGAAGAGGATAGAGAGAGGATGTTTAATGGGCACATGGGTACAGTTGCATAAGAGGGATATTTTTTAATGTTCTATAGCACAGAGCACAATAAGTATACAGATAACAATTAATTGTATATTTCAAAATAGCTAGAAGAATTATGAACATTCCAACACAAAGAGATGATAATGTTTGAGGTGATGAATATGCCAATTACAATTAGGGTACTAATATTATATACGTACACTGTATACAGGTACTAAAGTTAAGAGTTTTGTTTGTGGGAGTGGGTTGCTAGGGTTAAACTCATGGTCTCATACTGCTAAGGACTCTGCCACTGAGCTACACCCCCAATACATGTATTGAAATATCACATCATACCCTATAAACATAAACAATTATCATGTCAATTAAAAATTTTAAAAAGACCAAAAAAAAAAAAAAAAAAAAAAAAAAAACCCCATTACCATTTAAACTGGTAGGGAACAAAGTTACTATGAACTAAAAAAAAAAAGTCCCTCCCACATGGAGCTTAATTCTATTAAGGAAAGCAGACAATAAATTAAAAAATATACAGTATAGAATATGAAATTATTTCAAGTGTCATGGAGAAAAGCAAGGCAGAAAAAAGAATAGGGAAAGTCAGCTTAAGATAAAAGTACAAGGGGCTGGGGTTGTGGCTTAGCAGTAGAGCGCTTGCCTAGCACGCGTGAGGCACTAGGTTTGATCCTTGGCACCACATAAAAATTAAATAAAGGTGATTGTGTCCACCTACAACTAAAACAAATATTAAAAAAAAGATAAAAGTACATAATACTCTTTTTGAGGGGAAGGCAGTACTAGGAATTGAGCCCAGCTATAACTATAACTTCAAACCTTTTTTAAAATTTGAGACAGTGCCTTGCTGAGATGCTCAAGGCCTTGCCAAGTTGCTGAGGCTGGCCTCTGACATGCAATCCTCCTGCCTTAGCTTCCTGAATCACTGGGATTACAGGTGTGTGGCAACACACCTGGCTCAAAATTCATTTATTTTAATGGGAGAGTCAGCAGAGTATCAAGAGCATAGATGCAGGTAGGTGAGCAGATATGCTGGTAGGAGTTTATGGAAGCTCTGTCTGAATTGTTTCTTAGTAAAATCATAACTAAGGTTACTAGCAGTGAATAAGGATGGGGAGAAAGGATTACAGATATAAGGAAAGGAAAAGAAATGTATAAAATAGATATGAGAGAATGTGTGAGGATAAGATAGTAGAATTACTGGCTAAGTGTTAAAGGCCACTGGGCTGTGTGTTTTCCTTCACAGTGAGGCAACACAGGTACAGACAGAGACAATTCAAAGAATGGCCATGAGAGTGAGTAACTAAGACAAGCTGGAGATTATAATCACTAGAGGAGAGGAGGTCAAGAAAGAGAGTCAAGTTGCTGGAAGGATCATCTATAAGGATATTCAAATCACTAAGAAATATGATAGTGTACAGCAAACGATGACAGTAAGCCAGGAGCTAATAACATTCAAGGAATGAGGAATGACACAACCTTGCTAGATGACAGCCAAAAGGAAAAGTAGCAGGCACTACAGTGTGTTGGTATGAATTTATCTTTTGACCCAGAAATTCTGTTCCTAGGAATAATCCTACAGATAGTTATGTTTGTATAAGTCTACACAAGTATGCCTACAACATTATTTGTTTAAAAAACAAAACAAAACACTATAAAGGTAAATTCTACAACCAGACTCTAAGTTTAAATCCCAGTTTTGATACTTACAAGCTGTGGGACCTTTGACAAGTCACTTAAGCTTTCTATGCCTCAGTTTCTTACCTGTAAAATTAAGATAATAAATATTACATACCCCATAGGGTTATTATGAACAATTAAATAACTAAATGTATATAAATCTCTTAGATCTGTAGCTAGCATACAAAGAGCTATATCAGTATTCGAAGATCGTAGAAATCATTTAAATAACTTGTTATATCCAAAAATGTTTACACTAAATACCCTACCTGCTCTACTTAACATACAATTTAAGCTCAAAAAACCAGTCATTAACAATTTAAAATATTTAATCAAAAAGTCAAATACTATATAAATATTTGTCTAAAATATACCTTAACTCAGAAATCAAGTGCAAATTGATTTCTCCACACTTCCTCACCCAAACCAGAAAACACTGGCACACTGATGCTGATTTCAGACCTCCAGCCTTCAGAATTGTGAGAAATGAATTTGTTGTCTATTTTTAAAAATACACACACACAAACACATTAAGGGTTTAACTTTATCCTTTTTACACATTTTGTATCCCTCAACCTATCTAAGAATAGAACAAGTCAACTTTTCGGGACCCGCAGTTAGGATTAAAACACCTAATTTATTGAAGAACATCACTGTATTTAGGAATAATATTATGTCATACCAACTTAAATTTGTACCACTAATGGGGAAAAGATTAATATATATGAAATAAATGTAAGTGCTCATATAATTCAAAGATGTATTCATTTATTTAACAAAATGCTCTTAATGTGTACCATTGGTTAGACACTGTAACCATAGCTGTGTAGGTGAGAAAAATCTCTTTGTGGAGCTTATATTATCATAAATGATTAAATACAAGATATAACTTCAGGTAGTTAGAAATGCCATGAAGTGGGGGTGGGGATGTAGCTCAGGGTAAAGTGCTTGCCTAGCATGCATGAGGCCCTGAGTTCAATCCCAGCACCCAAAAGAAGTGCCATGAAGTGGCAAATTATACAACACAGGCTGCAAATGCTTTCAGAATTCAGGATAGTGAAGGTTAAATAGACCTACCTAGAAGAATAAAGAAATTAGTACATAAAACCACCGAATAAATGTTAACCAGCTCTCCACCATTATCATTACAATCTTCACCCTCATTATTATTGTAATGGGCTCTGAAAGATGAGAAGCTGGAAAGGTAAAGGCCAGATTGCTGTGGAGAGGCTTTCAAGGTTTAAAAACATAAGACGGGGGCAAAAATGGGCAAGGCATATTTTTGAGACATAAATGAAAGTTATCTGATTAGAGGAGAAAGCAGAGAATAAATGATCTTTCGAGATAGGATGGGTCAAATAATGGGAGTCCTTGAAATTAACAGAAGCTTTTCAACACTGCTTACCATGAGCAGTTCCCTTCCTTAAAGAAATCTACCTTTGGTTTCTACCTGAAAGAAAAAGTAAAAAAGACATTCATCTGATTTGAAATGGGCAAACACAAGGCTTTGGAAATAAGTGTGAAAATTCCTTTCATTTTTGAAGAAAAGGGGAAGTCGTTTTGACAGATTGTATTTAATGGATAAACAAAGAGATTAAGAGAGTAGATTTTAAATTGTGCTCGTTTTTTTTTTGTTGTTGTTGTTGCTTTACTAAATAAATAAATAAATAGGGCGGCCCTGGGTTTAGTCCCCAGCACAAGCCAGAAAGAGAAAGAGAAGGCCAGCAAGGCTGAAGTTCAAAAGACCGCTAAGAGGTCAATGTCCATGTCAGGGCAGAAAGCAGGTGACAGCTCCATTCTTGGGCCACTCAGGGTTAACTTAGGTAGCAGGTTCTCTCCTCCACCCACCCATTCCGTCCTGGAAGCAACTACTAATACTCGCCAACTTCTTCACTGAGTGTGAGAAGAAGTGAAAGTTCATCACTTCCTGGCAACCCCGCCCCTCCGTCTTTTTCTGCTAACCCGCGGGGTGGTGGCTCAGGCGTTGACGCCACTGAAGAACCGCTGACTGAAGGCCCAGCTGGACGACCAGCTCCAGTTCCGGAGCGGTAAAGAACTCGCCTTCTGCGCTGGAGCTCCAAATCCAGTGAGCTGCCAGCCCCGAGACAAACTTAAGTGGTTACGGCTTGATCTTTTCCCATTTCTTACCTTCACAGAGCCGTAGGCTTTGGTTCTCAGCTTTGCTTAGCGTCAGCTACGGAGCAGAGTTCTATGCGCGCGCTGCTGGCTGATTGGATCTGCTCCTAACCACCTCAGCCAATCCCGAAACTCGCTCGGACGCTGACGAGAGGGTTGCGCCGAGACTTTGGAATTGGTGCCGGAATTGTGTGTCGCACTTTTTCTGACGTTTAGCACAACATGGCGGCGGAAAGTGGGAGCGATTCGCAACTTAGAAGAAGAAGGCGCCGGGACCCAGAAGAGCCGGATAAAACGGAATTGAGCGCGAGAGAGTTGGCAGTGGCAGTGACGGTGGCCCAAGAAGACGATGAGGAGAATGAAGAGCGCTGGGTTGGGCCATTACCTGTGGAAGCAACATTGGCTAAAAAGCGGAAAGGTAGCTGCAGAGACAGACCGAGGGAGAATTGGAATGCTGCCTCTGCTGAGTGGGAGGGTTGAGTTCCACCAAGATTCTAAGAGGGATGGAGTGTGATTGTGGGGTATTGTACCCGCAGAATATCTCATTTCTGGCCACTCGGTACTTGAACATCCTCCTAGAACACTGATATGGGCTTAGTATTCCCTTTTTGATAATTTGGGATACTATTTGATCTCTGATATTTTTTATGATAGATGATAAAGCTAACATTTCCCTGAACTTGTTATGTACTTGGCACCTCTCATTTAATCCCCATAGCAGCTATATAAGGTCAGAATTCTAATTCTGAATAGCAAATGTGTGAGAGTACTGATTCTCCTGAAGTCTTTAGTTAGGTCTTGTTGGTAGGGGCTGGGGGTCAGGGAAGAAAGCGGTGCCTGTTTATAGAGTAATAAAGAGTAAGGAAAGACAATTTCAACCTTAAGTTTTCTATTAATGAATTTTCAAACCTAGGGAAAGTTACTTAAACTTTCTGGATCACAGTATTTTTTCATCCAAAATGTGAGGTCTGTGGTTTTCAAATCATACTCTTGAGATGCCATAGACTGGAGTATTTTGACAGTAACACAGAATAATAACAAATTTTTTAAAATCAAATGAAATAGTGGAGAAAGGGATAGATTAAATTTTCTTGCGCTTCAAGTTTTTCTGTGAAATGTTTCCTTAAACATTTAATACAATGGAAATGTGGTCTAAGGTCAAATCTTATTTTTTTCACTCTACACTACTTAAAACTTTTCAGGAATTTTATTTTCAAAACAAAATCCAAACTCCCTAACATGACACATAAGGCCCTTTATGATATGATCTCTCTTTCCTGCCGCCTACATCTCCCATTACTTTGCTCTCACAGTCTCTTACTTTGTGCACCACTAGAGAATGGGACACTCTTCTATATCTGTTCTGGATGCTGGTCTAGATTATCATTAGGGTCTTTACCTGAAATAATTTCTTTTACTTCTTTTACTGGGCAAAATTATGTTTCATGTTTAGCATTTGGATATTACCTCCTGGGAAGCCTGTGACTTTTCCAGTCTTAAAGGTTTCTAAAGCACATTGATCATAACTTGGAGGTAATGTTTATGGAACTGAGTTTACAGGTAGTCTTCAAATTTAACACATTGAAATTCCGAAGCAGCCACTTTTTTGAAACAAAGTGCATTCTTTTTTTAATGCCTGGTCCTCTGGTAAATATTACTATAGCAACCATTTCCTTCACTGTTTCTTGCTACAATTTGTAATTATATATTTGTTCCATGTAACTTTCTGATTAATGTTTCTCTCCACTGCTAAAACTAAACATGTAAAGAACAAGGATCAAGCTAGGCGCAGTGACTCAGTGGCTAGGGAGGCTGAGGTAGTAAGATCACAAGTCAAATTCAGCCTCAGCAATTTAGCAAGGCCCTAAGCAACATAGGAGACCCTATCTCTAAATGAAAAATAAAAAGGGCTGGGTTGTGGCTCAGTGGTTAAGCACCCCTGGGTTCAATCCCTGGTACCAAGAAAGAAAAAAAAAAAAAGAATAAGGACCATACCTCTTTTACTCCTGTGCTTGGTACAGTGCTTTGCATATGTGTTCCATAAATATATTTAGTAAATGAATATTGTAATACTATGCTGTTTAATTATTTTACTTCATTTTAATGTTTTTTGCATGTTCTTTTTTAAGGAAAGGAATGGGGATAAATGGAAAAATCCAAAAATATTGAAATGCTGGGAATTTTTTGTTTGTTTGTTGATGTTTTGCTTTGTTTTGTACCATGGATTGAACTCAGGGGAACTTAACCATTGAGTCACATGCCCAAACCCCTTTTTTAAATTTTGGGGGTTTTTTAAAATTTTGAGACAGGATCTCACTGAGTTGTTTATGGCCTTGCTAAGTTGTTGAGGCTGGCTTTGAATTCGTGATCCTCCTGCCTCAGCTTCCCAAGCCCCTGGGATTACAGGTGTGTGCTGATACACCTGGCTGAAATGCTGGTATTACTGTTAGGAGATAAATATCTTACAATCTTAATATTTGAAACAGAGATGGAAATTATTAGGTGTGAAAATCTTTACCCTTAATCAGATGCATATTGTTTTTTATTAAATATTTTTTTAGTTGCCAATGGACTTTATTTATTTATATGTAGTGCTGAGTATCGAACCCAGTGCCTCACACATGCTAGGCAAACCTATACCACTGAGCCACAAACCCAGCCCTGCATGTTGTTTTTAAGCTAGCAATACTGCATTCAATTTGAATAAAAAATTTAAACTAAAAAGCATGTTAGAAATGTTAGAAAAGTATTGTTGAAAATTTTATCTAAAAGAACAGGTGTTTAATATTTGCTGTCTATAATTGAAGCCATCTCCTTTAAAATGTTCCTCAGACATTGGACTTGTATATATACACTATTGAAAAAAACATGAGATATGATTACGTAACACTACCTTTAATTAAACTTTCTTAAGGACAGGAACTGTGTCTTAACTCTTCAAGTCCATATTCAGGAACTTATTTTGTTCTCAATATTTCTTCCAAAGGGTACAAACAACAACAAAATATGAATCAGATACAATTTAATTCTATGCCAAATAACAATGATATAACAATTAGGTGTACTTCTTTTATGTGTATAAGTCCCAAGGTTAGTAGTCCAGAATTGCTATGGAAGCTCCAAAGACTGCTAGACTCTTTTCTAGCTTTCTGCCCTAAAATAACTAGGCTATCTCTGGCCTCATCTTCACTGTCCTGAGTTGTTCTTAGAATTACAGCAGTAATATCCTGGTTCTATATTGTAGAACTGAGGAAGGGAAGAAGGGCACACTTCAAGACTTCCTGACTATCACAAAACACTCCCATTTTATCTCATTAGCATAGAGCCACCTGTCACTCCAAAACCACTCCCATTTTATCTCATTAGCATAGGGTTACCTGTTACTCCAAGGGAAGGTAAGAAAGAGGGTATATTATTTAATATAGGAAAATTTGGTAGCTGGCCTCTTTAGCTCTAATAAGTTAACTAAGACATCTTGGAACTATCAAAGGACCATCCAAATGGATGAATGGAGGATTTGGAGGACAATAATATATTACTATATTGCTATAGCAATAATAGCAATCATCTTTGTAGCTAGATATCAGGAGGCCCATCTAAAAATATGGAATCTGTTACTAAAAATGAAGGGGAAAGTAGTTAGTTAGACAACTTTATATATAACAGGAATGAAAAACTAACATATATTCAATTTAGCAACTTTACATAGGCATGTTTGGCCATCATTGGATTATTTTATTTGGCATACATATTATGTCAATTTGGGCGGGAACTAGCAAAATTGTTTGTAGCTCATAATAAAGATTTCTTGCCATGACTCAATTTACCACTGTTATGAGTGCTTTGCCCCTGGCAAAAATCTGAGAAACACTCAAGTGGACATTTTCTGGGATTTTCTCAGTTCTAAAAATCTAAGCATTTTATTGTTTTTACATGTTTCAAATTCAGTATTAATGACTTCAAAGAGAATATGTGCCTTAAAAATGAACTGAGACATCTTACAGATAGCCATTAGTCTCTTATTTAAATTAGCATCTATAACTGGGATCTACATAGTTACAAAGATGGTTGTGATATTTTCAAGAAGCATTTTAAGTTGTTTAAGTTTTCTAATCTTTGGAACAGTTAAGCATCTGTATAATCCCTGGGAGTCGGTTATGATTAACCAAATAAATGTTAAAATAATGGTTCTATGCCAGTGCTCCAAAATAATAAAAGTCATATATGACATAACAGACTTTGGATTGTTTTATTCTTACATGTGAATTGACAGAAATTAAAACATAGAATTTGGTATAAAATAGAATTTAGAAAATTCTAAATAAAAAGAAAATAATGTTTAGTTTACTTTTGTTAAGTCACTTTTTTACTTTTTTTTTCCAGTTCTAGAGTTTGAAAGAGTGTATCTTGATAATCTCCCCAGTGCATCCATGTATGAGCGCAGTTACATGCATAGAGATGTTATTACCCATGTGGTATGCACCAAGTAAGTCATCTTTTAAAATATTTTTCTTAAAAGTTTATGTTTTTAGGGACTGGGATGGTAGCTCAGTGGCAGAGTGCTTACCTAGCATGTGTGAGGCACTGGGTTTGATTCTTAGCATCATGTATAAATAAATTAATAAATAAAATAAAGGTCCATTGACAATTTTAAAAACATTTTTTTAAAAAGTTTATGTTTTTAAAACAAATCTTCAATTTTGAGATGGATTTATAGAAGTAACTCTAGGATTTTACAGGCTTCTATTTAAATTCCTAAAGTTCTGTAATAGTTTAAGTTAAGTAAAGGTCTACATATTCTTTCCTATATCACACAAAGAATGCATTCTCTAAGACAGAATTCCCTGTTATGTGTGTATGTTTTTTGGAAATAAATGTCAAGAGGGGAATGAACCAGGTAGTGTCTGAGCTTCTCTGAAGAAGAGTGTATATTATTTAACAGGAAAATTTGATAGCTGGCCTCTTTAGCTCTAATAAGTTAACCAAGACATCTTGGAACTATCTCAAAGGACCTTCCAAATGGATGAATGGAGGATTTGGAGGATAATAATAGCAATAATGTTCCACTATTTATTGAGCT